CATATGTAATTGTAGTTTTTACATATTATTATTCAGTTAATGAGTTATCGCAAAGTGGGTAAAGATTGTCCGTGGTAAGTGTTTGTTATATATGTGAAGCTAATGCACATTGGATTTGATAAATTTGATGAATTTATAAGTTCGTGAAACGTATTTAGTTTTTATTATATATTCATTGGAAAATTCGTCTTTTCATATATATGATTTTATTACCTTTCATGAATATATAAAATATATAATATAATTTAATTTAAGTGCATGATTGTTTTATTATAATTTTTATAATTATATTTCTTTTTTCGTAAACTTAAAAATGAAAAAATTTTGTCAGAAAAGAGTACGGAATAAAACTGCCTGGACATTTAGATAAAATACATTTAAATTAAATTTTTAGAGGGTATAAATATTTTAAATTGCTATTTTTAATTAAATTCGAATATTTTAAAGTGTACAATAGTTTTTTTTAATTCGATGATTATAATTCTTGATTTTATAATTTAAAATTGATCACTTCTAACGTACAATAAATTTCATATTTTAATTAATATATATATGTATATATAAGTTTACAATAAAAGAGATTGTTCATTTTTTTCTTAGTGGATTTTGAAATAGAATTTATATATCTTATGTACGTGAATCCATCTTAGAGATCGTAATGAACAATATTTCGAAGCAAATGAATTAGATTTTTTAAGGTAAAGAGCTTTAAAATAATTTGCAAATTTTTATGATATTAACATGGGTTTCAAGACGACATTATTTTGAATTTATTTGACTTATTTTTATGATTATTAAACTTTTTATAACAATATTCTGTACGTTTAATAAAAGTTTTTATCTTACATTTATCATAAATAATTATATTATTTTTAGTTTCCTAATTATATTGATAAAATATATAAGTAATTGTTTTAGCTAGAAAAATTTCAGAGATACAGTGACCCATCAGTCTTTACATTGTTTGATAATCACTCGATTTAAAGTATTTTAATATGTGAAAATAATCGATCCTAATTTTCAGCGTAACCTAAAAATTATAGATAAATAAATAATTTAATGATGTATATAAGATTCAATTCAGGAATTGTAAGCGAATTTTAGTAATGATTATTAATAATAATTATTCTCAATGATAAATAATATTTTTAAATTAATATTTGAAAAGTAACATGTTTTATGTTTTCAGCTATATATATTTTTCTTTTGTTACGCCTATGTTTACAAACTAACTAAGTCTAAATAATTAAAAACACGAATATAAATGAAATTAAATTTATTACAGAAACAATAATAGGAACAATAATAGACTTATCTCGTATAGAATATTAACGTTAAAATTAATGAAAGCATAAGAATACGTGTTTTAATGCATAATTAATTTATAAATATAAAGCTATGAATTTCTCTTACATTCTTATTTTTTATATTCTTATAATAAAATAATTAAATTAATAATGTAAAATAATAGGAAGAATTGTATTGAACATATACGAACACTTAATATGATGAAATTAGAATAATTATCGAAGAAAATTGAAATTTATTAGAATTACAGGGTATTAATCTTTCTCATATAATTATACCGTAGTATAGCTTATTTACAATTTTTATAATTTATGTTTCATTCCTAATATTTTATATTCATGATTTTTAACTTTATTAATTGAAATTTGATAGCTGTTGTAATTTTTATTTATATTCAATTTGTTGGTACAAATGCCAATATTTAAAAATATCGTAATCTTTGCTTATCTATAAAACATGAAAGTTGTCAATTATTATAAATTATAAAGATGGTATTTTACTAAGAAATAAAATTATAGAAATATTAAAGTGCCAACACTAATCATCGATAGTGACAGACTGTTTTAAAATGTAAACAATATATGATTAATAAAATAGATTACACAGAGATTATTCGTTCATATTACTAAGTTCAAAATGTATAAACTCTTGTTATAAAGTATTGTTATATAAAATTACCTTGTTTATAAATAATAAATATTGAAATTTAAATTACTTACTTTATTATTTAAGCAAATTACCAGCTATTCGTATAAGGTAAATATCATAATACTGAAATTTGCAGTCGAATAATGTAGTATTTGAATTTGTTAAATCTATTAAAAAACTATATGGTAATATTTATAAAATTTAAATAAAGGAATATTACTAAATGTATGCTTCAGTTATTAGTTCTAGGAACCTCTTAATGCGCTTTACATTTAGATTGAAATGACCTTGGATAATATGTACTAATTTATTTATACGTAATATTTAAATTCGTCATTAATTGATTTCAAAATTCATAAAAAGTAGATATATTATTTCATGTAAATTTAATTTCCATATTGTCTATTTATAAATATTTTTTTAATTGATTTTGACACTATATTTGTATAACATATTTTATGTTTCCCAAGATTTAAGTTAAGAAATAAATCATAATAATTAATTTATTATATTTCCATAAAAATATAAATAATAAAAGAATTAATTTTGAAGTATTACAGTTGACTCCATTTTATGCTTCATTTTTTCTTTTCAAACCTTCATTTTCCGGCTCTAATATAAAAAAAATTTGCCATTTTTTAATATTGAATCGAATCATCGAAGTTTGTATAAAATGAAAGTTGACCAAGAAAAGAAATTTATTGTAATGATTATATGGATAATTCTATTTACTTATTTCAATGCACTAATTGTACCAACAATTATCTATTGCCGTGCTTTTCTTAATGTATATACTAATTCACCTAAATTTGTTATTATTACGATACAGAATATATAGAATATCGATGCTATTTGAAATGTTGCAAGATTTCTGTTTTCAAGATTTCCATTTTTCTATGTTTCGTTTGTAATCGATTTTTATTCATTTTATTTGTGCATTGTTTTTTATCAAACAATTTTTTTGTTTCGTAAAAAAATGAAAACTTAAAATTGTAGAATTTCTCTTTAGAACATTATTCGGCGCCTATTAACTCATTTATTTTTTACGTAACAATGTTTTATCGTTAAACACACATACAAAGCTTAAATTAAATGAATCGTATAGTTTATTTTTTAATATCACATGAAATTGCATATAAAATAACAGTATTCATCGTAAATTTACGTTAAGACTATTCTTATATGCTTCCAAATATAATAAAAGTTTTTCAACAACAATTTGTGTTTATTATATCTTTTATAGAAATTAAGTTGAGGACATTATGTTATAATATCTAATTGAATAAAATAGAACGTCTTATAAATACTTCTTAAGAAAATCAAGGTAAAATTTAACAATAATAATGTATAATTATAATGTAATAACTTTGGTTTAACCCTTCATCCATTGAAAAAAAAACCGAATAATTTGATAAATCGATAGAATTGCGTTGTGACGTTGAAAAGAAATGACAAATCAAATCGAAAAAGTTTTTGCTATTAAGAGTTAGTTTTCTTCTTATATATATTTTTAACAACATTGCCTACTTTTAAACCACGGCGCCAGCGCGGAGGCCACGTACAAAAATTCTCATTAGTAACATTATTAGTTTTTTAACCGCAATATACTATTCAATAATATTATTCACAGATGAAACTTAACCTATATATATATATATATATATATATATATATATATATATATATATATTTTGTTTTTAATCTAACTATATATCGAATATTTATGTCATATTGTCCATTATTAAATAACGAAATGGATATGATAAAATTTAAATTGAATAAAATTATGTCTGCTGTGCATATTCATTCTGATAACTTTTTTATTTTTATATTCTTCTTTTACTATTATTAAAATTCAATTTCTAAATCGTTTTAACTTTCAACATGGCACTCGGTTTTCAACGTCTCACTTTTATTATAATATTGAAACGTGATTTTCATTTTTCATTAATATTTTTGTAGTAAGAAGAAAATGTATATGAGAAAAAATCATGTTATTAAGAAATAATTGTCGACATTTAATATTTATTTATTTTTTTAGCGAGTAAAATATGCATAAGAAATACGTATTAGCGTGTATTACATATTTTATATGTCTTTGCTTAATTATCTATTATTGTAATTATTTTGACTTTTGTATTTGTTGATTATGCAAAATATCGTTATATTAAATGTTATAACTCCTTTTGTATTATGAACTTCTTCGAATTATAGACAAATTGAATAATTTGACAAATGAAATTACGATTGGGAGTGATGAAAATCATAATAAAGCTAATTTTAATTGCCATCAATACTGCGCAAATTAGGAAATTAGACAAATTTATATCAGCAATTAAAACATTATATGCTTATTACATGGTACTAATATAGTATAATAAAATAGTCCACAAATTAATAATAATATAGTATGTAAATAAAAAATAAATATAAAATATTTTTAACATTTGTGCAATATATTTGTAGAATATAATCATTAGTTGGTAAAATTATTAACGATTTATTATTTAAGTCAAATGCAAGTACATTACAAAGTATTAATTTACAGGTGTAAAAAATAATCTTTTGATATTTCTATTCTATTAGCTACAAAGAATTTCTATTATTATACTCGATAAATAAATATTAAATGGGCAAAGTTGTTTAAACTCTTTCTACGATAACATGACGTCTTTAAACACCAATTGATGCTCAAGATTAGAAAAATTGTGATCGTTAACGCTTGAATAATTGCTTGAATTATAATTAGCGGTGAATTATTATTTCAATCGAAATATAAATAAATTACTTATCTATTCTTACAACCTTCATAATGCATAATGGCTCGAAACACTACAATCGAACTCGATAATCATCGCTAAAAAGCGCCAATATAACTCGAGCACAGCTCTAACTAATAACAATATAAATAATATTCCATTGCTAAAAATGGATTCGTGTGATTCGTTGTTCCGCACTTAAGCATCTTGTATGGCGAGATTTTACGATTATGTCAATATTTACGACGAGCGTTTAGTTTAACGTTTGAGTCTTGTGATTTGCGGTTAAGTTGGCATCACTCCCGAGCCGGGGGGTGAGCCCGAGGCAACAGTCAGTATTCCTCTTCGTCCTCTTCGAAATCTTCCTCACCGAGAATGCTGCAACAATTCAAGCATAGCCCATTGTCACTTACGCGAAGCAATTTTCGCTGATTATTTTTCTTTATCTTTTGATAAATAGGAGATTCATCGGTGACACCTGCCTTTATTGATAATAATTTTAAACTACCTACTATCGGTTGTCTATTATTCATTGCAATAAAAGTTCTAAGTTCACGAGCGTTTCTTTCATAATGGCGCACTGGCTATTATGTTATAGAATTTTAGGCGAAGGTATATATTGGAATGATCTATCGATAATGTATAACTATATTATCGAAGAAATATTAGAATGTCATTAACTAAGTGAAATATTTTTTTTACAAAAATACGTGTTTATATTGAAGATGTAAATATTCGACAATACAATAGATTAAGTTTAAGAATTAATTAAATGCAAGAATAATATTATAATATATTCTCATTATTAATTGTGTTTCAAGTGCATTGTAATGAAAAATATTCACATCATATTTCAATAATTTAAGGCTAATTTTTATGTCAATTATTTAACTTAGTCAGAATTAAAGCGTATTAATAATTCTTAAGTTATGTAATATTATCGAGCTAAAAAACGTATATTCTTATTAATTCAAACTTATTAATTATCGCTAAATTAGTAAAACTACAGAATACTCTGCAATTTGAAGTCATATTTTCGATATACAGTCATTGATTTAAATATTATACAAAAGATCACATATACTATATAATAATTTGATTTAACAATATTGACAGTTAACGTAAATTGCACAATGCATTCAATCATGTGTGTTTGAAAGTATTATTAAAACGACCGATAGATGTTGTTCGTAATGTTAAGTAAAAAAATTGACATGAGAATAAAAGTCTATTAAACAGCGATACTAAGGCCAGGGGGGGGGAGGAGAGCAGCACTAATGTACAAGCATTGTCAAGATAACTTCTACATTATAATTATTTTACGCTGTTATACTACATTATAATTATTTTACGCCGCACACAAACTTAAGTTACTTACTCTCCCTTCCTCTCATACTTGTCAATGAGACTTCTTCTGGGACCACTGCACGACTTGTTCACCGGTGGACAATACCAGTAGCACAGCACGGCCAACGATAAGACGAATAGCATCACAGGAATCGTTAAAGCCAGTATTAGATTGCGCAAATTCTCTTCCCAGGAATATCTGGAAACAATTGGTGACAAGCGCTAGTGTTATTTAATATCTCGATTTTATTATTAACACGCGATACAATTTTGTATGAGGTACAATGTCTCTCTTCGTTCGGATAATAACTTTGCTCTTTTATGACATATCTCTACTAAGTCTAATTAATGGTCGTTAACATTTCTTAATTGTAGGTTAAATTTACGAGGCTTGCCGACAATCTCGGAAATTTAGCTCGCTTTATTTAGCTCGTCATGCATATTCTGTGTATTTCCAAAATTTGAAAGGAATAATCGATAATGGATGCGAAAAATCCCGAAGTCAACAAGACTGATAAAAGAGATCTAAAGTGGCAAATAGTTATTCATTTCGCGTGATATACTCGTGTACCATCGAATAGATAACAAAAGCTTACCTGGACACGACCGTTTCCGGATACGTTCGGCTATAATAGCAAGGGAAGATTTTCCCGTGGCTGTTATTGCCGAATTTGTTGGCAAATTCGGAACAAACGACACCGGTATCCGGGTATCCGCAGCCTTCGGCATTCACATAAAACTTTGTATCCAAGACGTCCCAGGGTATGCTCCCAAGTGGCTTGGCCATGAACTCTTCGTACGTCAGCTTCGTGTAGTTGACGCGGATCTGGTGGCAGCTCGTTACCGCTGCAGTGCAGCCTGCAATTTTTTTTACTTAATATCAGCCTCGTGTGCTCACAGCGAGCATAATTATCAATGTGCACGCGTACATTTTAGAAACATCAACTCTTCTGGCTAATTGATTCGTTACTTAAATAAAATCTCGTGTATGCGCCTCGCGTTTAAAATAAATAGATAAGCAAGGAAAAATTAGATGTTTTAATTAACATATAATGAAACACACACGCGCACGCACGGACGCGCATACACACATATAAGGGACCTTGTCCATACAATTATGTATTGGATGTGGAGATTCTTAAACGGTACTATTATAATAAGCGATAAATCAAGCTTGACCACATCCTCTAGTAATTAAACATTGTGAATCAATCGTGGCAGCGCCTCTTACAATAATTAAGATATTAATAATCAAGATCTTTGATAATTGATCCCGATTCGTTCCGTTGGCGCTCATCGGACGCTCAACGACAACGAAATCCACCTCCCTGGTCCACGTCAAAGTCCCCTACCTTCTCTGCAACTGGCCCAAGAGCAGTTCTTCAGACCCTCGGCGAGAATGTGCCTTGTAGTGGTGCAGGCGACGGGTCGCGGTGAGAAGTCAGCGAGTATGGTCGAGATGGCGGGCTCGACGACGAACGGGATCGCGAAGAGGAAGGCGAAAACCGCGAGGATGGCGGTCGAGCCCAGACATAGGGATGTATAGAACTTCGCCTTCTCGACGAGACTCTCGACCTCGAGCACTGGCAGGACGCCGCCAAGCATCCGAGAGTCATTGAGCCCGCTGCCGGCCTCACTGCCGAGGCCCGAGCCGCTCCCAAGGCTGGACTTGCGTCGGCTGCCCCGGTCGTCCTCGATCTCGTCCTCCTCGGCGCCCATGATGATGGTCGCCTCGTCCGACTCGACCGAGGTGCCGTAGCGCAGGGCGCGATAGAAGCGCCTCTTCGCCGAGGCCACCGGCCTGCCCCGAATTCTGCCGCCCGAGCCCGTCTCGACGGTTTTACGGTGAAGGGCGCGGGAAGAAAGGGCCGAGGGCCCCGGTGACTTGACACTTGGAGCGGCGGAATGAGCGAGCGAAGGAGGGAGAGGTCGCGTGTCACGAATTTATCATCTATCAGTAAGAGCGGATGGCTATATTTTCTGTCTTACGACGACGCGTCCCCTTCCCGCGATCAGCTATTCTTTCACTTTATTATTAATTAGATATACTTTGTTTGAACATTTTTACTTATCCAGCTATGCGTGTATTCACTTATTAATTAATTTATTTATTTGCCTATCTATCTATTGTTTCTACACTGGGACGTTGAGAGGCTTGTTTTGGAAATATCTGGAATACGCGTTTCCTTTTTATACGAGCTTGTATTTTGTAATCGTGTTCATAATTAATCTTGCGTATTTTATTGGTGCGTTTAAAAGGAGTACATGTGTTTAGTGCTATCTATCTACTCGACTCATTATCAATGTCAATTTCCTTTGCCCCGTATGAAAGCAACGGCGTACAAATTACCGGCGAATGTGTAAGTAGCGAGAATAAAAAATCACGGCTTATCGGAATGACTTCGTTGGGCTTTTCCGTTTAGACTTCTTGCTCATTGTTCAATTCAAGTTTCCCATACAATCGCATTAATCGCCTTTGAAAGCAGCTTTTAGCATGTCGCGCAGATAGGATCATTAGAATTCGAATCACGCTTTCCCCCCCTCCCCACCCCAACCCGCCCCGACGACACCTTAATAGTGACCGCGTAAGGAGAATATCGACTGTCGAGTCGGACTCTCCTCCAGGAGGGGAATGCCTGAAAAAAGAAATAAAAAATATCGATTTGATTGACGTTACTTACAATTAATAGGAAATGAGTAAGCTCGAATAAGCGGTTATTGCCGTTAAAGTAGGAAATTTCTTGTTTTTAAAAAGAATGATAAACAAAAATTGGAATTTTTAATGTAATGAAGAAAAATTAATACCACAAATATTGTAAAATATTATTTATTTATTAGTACATTGACTAGTTTTTGTAACAGCGACAATATCTATCAATATATTCTTCAAATATTGTGTCTTAAGAAATGCACGTGATGCTTATTATTTGCTGTTTTTACAAAATTTCATACTTTCTTGTGTTAAGCCGAGAAAACAATGCTAGACAATACGACTATAATATTTATTTTACAGAAACTTGGTGCTTTAGCATCTCTGTCATTAAGGCATCTGGCTCAATTGTTGCAATTTCAATCTATGATTCAAATTCACTTGAATAATAAATATCATTATTCGTAAAATAGCGTAGCCTCCAATAATTTATCTTTAAAACTTTAAGGGATATCCTATAAGAAATGTAGAAGCTTATTTTGTATAATATTGGATAATTCAATTGAAGGTGATGTTTTTGATGATCTATTTTATCAAATTGTCGTCTTTCGGTCATTAATTATTCTAATCTCTCAATATTTTATTGTAAGATGAAAAAGAGTCCTGCTGTAAACAAACTGTCTTTTAGTAAAAAGTGTATTAATGTTTGCTTGGAGATGAAAAAGAATGTATTTAACATTGGGACGTATAATTCTCATGGGTCTCTTATCCATCAGTTACTCTAATACTATTATGAACCATTGAACGCACTAACTTTTTGACATACCCAACTATTAATACGTCAAATTGCCGAAAATTATATGGGGCACAAATTTGCTTACAAACGGATACATTTTCACTCATTAGCACATACTCAGGATGTATGCATGGGCGCGCACACATGGGTACCCGCGTATTTATCATTTGTAAACGCATACGCGCAACACGCTCGCATTTCCATTATCAAGTGCCGTGTACACGCGCGCCCATGCATACGTACGTTCGCATGTGTACGCGCTCGAGTTTACATATGCACCCACAGCCATCATCGTACAGCACCCGCACGCTTACATATATATATATATATATATATATATATATATATATATTTCATTTCACAATTACGTTCCAAGACATTAGTGCTAAGCTGCTTAGCGAATATTCGAAAATGTGTTCTGCGTGTCCATCCAGGTGAAAAATCGAATCCACGTCAACCTTATAGAAGCAAAATAAATAATTTATATTGGCATGAAGGTGCTCGTGACCTCGACGACGAAGCCTTGCGAATAAAAAATGGTGCCAATAAAAATATATAAAATTTCTCTCTCAGCATTTGCGCACGCACATATTAATGTACACGCATATATATATATATATATATATATATATATATATATATATGTATACAGATGCGTACATACGTGAGCGCGCTCGCGTGTATGCATGTGCGTATAAGTAGATGATATCAATGAATGTAGTAGTGATGGTAGTGGCGGTAGTATAGAGTATATTCAGATAGAGTGATGATGCTCTTACGTGACGGATCTCAGAGCGCCATGACGGAATCTCCTCCGCCGGCATCGGCCAGGTTGCCAGAAGCGCTTTTTTCGAGGGCAAGAGCGGCCAAGGCAGCTCCGGGCGTACCCTTAAACCTCATCTTGGCGTCGTCGCCGACGACCACGGTTCTCTGGCAGAGTATAAGCGTCAAGCAGCTGACGACGAACAATATGCTGGGCAGTAGGAAGGCAACGAGGAACTCCTTGTACGTTGAATTGAGGTTGAATCGTGAGACGACAACGCTCGTCTTACCCTCCGCGTAGTAGCACGGGAATCGGGCTCGCGCGTTGTGGTCTGAGCCGTCCTTCCCGTACTCGAGCAAAAAAAATTTGCACTCGTCGCGGAGGGTGTTGACGCAACCCTCGAGATTAATGAGTAGGCGGCTCTCGTTCGCGATTATGAGGTCGATCTCGGGGGGCGTGACCTTTCGCGTGTCATCCAGCGGCTTCGTGGCGAATATATTGAGGTAGGAGAGGTACGTGAAATTGGTGAGGTCGGTGAGCATGTCCTTCTCGAGAACGGATCCATTGATGCAGTCGACGGCTTCGACGCCGAGACTCGTGTTGTAGATCCCATAACACGATGCCATCATCACGTCGCCCCTACTTTCGTTCCAGATCTCCTTTTCACTTTCCGTATCGATAGCACTCTCGCACGAGCTTAGGTACACCTTGTCGCCACTGAGCAAAATGACATTTTTGTTCCTGGTTGGGATGTCGACGCAACGTCGGTCGCAATTGTACGGGGTGCGGATCTTGGCACAAGTGCCACGATTGCAATTGAACAACCCGTCTATGTCGATACACGTGATCTTCCCGCGCCTACCTGAACACTTGAGCGGTGGATCCGTGTCGTGGAAGACGCACTCGAACGCGTCCGTGATGTTAATGCAAACACCGGCGGTGCAATTGAAAGTGCCCGTGAGGTTCCGGCACTCGTCGGCAATGCACTTGGACTTCTTGGCGTTCTCTTGATCGATGCCATAACACGTCTTGTTGGTGGTATTGGTGCAGTTGGCCAGGAGGATCGACGAGCCGTTTCGGCGCAAGTTCACGTGGATTTGCACGCAGGGCCCGGAGGTTTTCGAGAGGCACCATTCGCCGCAGCTGCCCCAGTCGCAGTTGTCGGCGTTCGTCGCCCGTATGGTCGTGCACATGGCCGGTACCTCGCTTATACCGGACTGGAACGCTCGGGTGCTCGGCATATAAATCGCCACGGTCAAATAGACCAGGGCCACGGAGGAGAGGACAGCCGTCATCTGACAAATGCAGATGGTCCCGCATATACGGCCATCCTGGGGCGGTATGACCAGATCCTCCACTGGTACTGGCTTGCCCATATTGCGACCTCGGGCTCTCGATGAGCAGCTATGAAGACGACGACGACGATGAGATCCGGATTCAGGGCGCGAGCGAGTCGCCGAGTACGAAGCGCCGACGGGAGAATGACATTGCGACGACCCTACCGCGCTCCTCTTACTCTTTCTGCCTTAGTCGGCCAGTTGTCGGGCTCTGCTCTCGCCTAGTTTATCGGCGTATTCCGATGAAGCTGCCTCGACGAGGCTCGAGTCCAGCCGACAACAGCGAGGCGCCCGAAAAACTGCCTTTGCCGCCGATGATCGGCCTCTTTCCTTGTCCTTGCGCCCACGAAGAGAGTAATAGGCGCGCACACGCACACGCACACTCGCTTACCTACGATCGATCGATGTGCCGAGTCTGCGCCCTCGTCACTACGTGCAGACGACTCTCGTGCCGCAGTGACGTCAAGTGGCGAAGTCGGAGAGCCGAGCGAGCGATTGGTGTCTCGATTATACGCATGCGCCAAGCCCTTACTCGTCTGGCTTTACAATGCCGTGCACAAAATCGAGGAATCTTTTTCGAGGAAGACTCTTCGTGGTTATCTCACTTTTTAGAAATTCTTACGCTCTATATGCTTGGTATTAGACACTTAGTAAAACTTGCGTTTAAGGTTTGTGTAAATTCGGCCTACATTCTCAAACTTAAATGCCGATGCTGCACTTTGAACTCGCATCGTACTCGAAATAATGCTCCGTGCATTGGTTGGGTGATGCTCGGCAACAGTCTATTTCTTATTTTATATATATGCATTACTTTGCGTCTTTGTTTATGGTCTGAATTGTAAGAAAAGTTGATTTTTCAATGGCCATGATTTTCCTATAAATGTTATGATTAATTAGGTAGAAATATTGTGGTCGAGTGTTATTAACGGGCAATTACATAAATATTTCATTTACGTTGGATATGTGAGGCAAAATAAAAGAAATCAGTCATAAGCGAACGTGTAAAGACATTTGCATTTAAAATATCATTGGTATTTTAAAGGAATTGTTTATTGTATTGATGATTGCGTTAAGATTCTATGTGTTGGTATAAAGTGGAAACAGTAAACATTTGTAAAAAAGTTAGGCACGTTTTATAACCGACGGATAATTTTCATTTAGCCTTCATTCATTTGGTAATAATGATATTAAGTCGAGGAAATTTATATTTCCTTGCTTAATCTCTAGTCGTTATTGCATTAATTTTGGTCTTTATAAATAAACAAGAATACAAAATTTTCATTACTGTGCAATTAATCAAACATATACACATTAACGGTTACTTTATAAATACAATAATCTATATCAACATTATGAATTTTATAACAATTTATTTTATATGATATAATAGACTTTTTTCCATTACACCGAATCGATTTCATATGATATGTAGTCATAAAAGATAGAAAATCTGACCAGAATATGTAGCATATGACATAGCATTACATAGTTATAAATTAAAAATGTTTCTCATATATACAAGCTCGTAATTCACATTTTATTTATAACTGATACATCTACCAATTATCCTACACAGTCTCCTATAAGATTTTTAAATGAAATTATTTTTAATGAAATATTTATATTATGAAAGATTAAACTAACTAAAAAAAACACCCGGTCTTTTGTTCCTGCCAATGACTTTTGCAGAAAAAGTTTGATAAATACGGCTCCCACGGCATGGTACTTAATAATAATGCCAAATAGAAATTCGACAATTGCTCGACTGTCTTTCACTAACTCTACAAAGAATGGCATCGCATTCAATGAAATGCTATAACGATCAGGCATTATTGACTTTCCGACGTAAGTTTAGGCGACAGTAGTAGCGAGTTCAAGTCGGCAGCGCCCGCACACGCGCGCGCACGCACACACACACACACACACACACACACACACACACACACACACAGATGCACATGTCACAAACACGCGCAAGCACTGACATTACTCAATGCTCTGCATGAAACAGCAATATTTCATTGGTTGTATGACAAGAAGGAGAGAGAAATAAGGAAGGATTTGCATGTTAAATATAATCGAATGTATGACTAAAAATACGAAACTGTCTCTTGTAATGGGAAAAAAAGGTTAATTATATAGATGGACTAGGAATTTTAAGATTTAATGCATTACATTTGAATTTACAGTTACGCGTAATCATTTTTTTAGCAAATTATTTGTTGATTGTAGTAAAAATACGAATACTACTTTTTCTCGTTAAAACTACAATAAAATTTATATGTGCAAAAACTGCATTATTCAAACATTTTATTGAAGTTTTAGTTTATACATTATTATACGACTCTATTCAAAATGACTTATTTACTAAAAATAACGATAAATATAAAAAAAAATTTCATACAAATTGAGCTTTAATCTTAGATTTCGTATTAATTATCTGATAAATGGTGCCAACATTTTCCTTCGAGTTATTGATAAAATATTCTAAAATAAGATATATTCGCTCTATTTATCATTCATATTTTATGTAAAAAGTTTTTATAAATATTCTACAAATGACTTAATTGCAAATTACTTTGTTTTGAAAAAATTCACAATTTCTTACGTATTTCCATAAGGTTGACCGTTGTATTATAAAGAATTATAATATACTAATTTTGTTTTAAGAAGAACTATTTTACTTTAAACTATGAATAACATGAAATTTTTAAGAGAAAATCCTTCATTAATACATAATAAATATTGTAAGAAGAAAAATTAAAAAAAAAAATCGCAGTAGAGTATTAATAAAAGATGTCAGTTTGAAAAGAAAATTTAATAAATAAATTGCATAACTTGCCATGTAAAAATTTTAAAATTTATTATCTAAATCTTTATGAATCCTTCTTTTATTTAATCTTCTCAATTTAAAGTAGTTATTTTACAATATTCGTGTAGGCAACTTCGTAATGTTGGTGAATAATTTTGTCCTTGATTTGCTTTACTTATTACATATTATTACAATATATTTTATAATTCTTAAAACTCAAAATAGAATATTACAACTCTATCGAGTTATTTTGTTTAAGGAACAATTTAATATAGTTTCTTTACTAATCGCGATATTGTAAAATCTCTTAGCATTTTCTTACAGAATATTAAATTCATTTTTAACAATCTGGAACTTCTTTTTTTAATTTTAGAATTTTTAATATAATTATTAACTATATATATATATAATTTATTTTTAATATTCACGCGATGTATAAATTATTAATATGTATAATTACTTTTTACATAATTAAAAAGTTAACTAAAACCACTATTATATTTTAAATAAGAATAATATGTATGCATTGTAAATTTTATTGTTTCAAGAATTATACAGACCGTATTAGGATAATTATTTCAAATTTAAATTTTACCATCACTAATTCTTGAAGAAGATTATTATTGTATTTCAAATAAGCTAACTGTTATTTTTATCCGTTATTAAAATAATTGTTTAAATACGGGAGTTGAATTTGTAAAAATAGCTATGTAAAAATGCACTCCACAGTGTTTTATAACTTCATTTATCTGGATTAATATTTTTATTTAAAAAATCGATTGTGACAAATTTTTGATATTCATTCCTACAGTACTAAATTATCAAGAAGCAAAGAAAATAGTTAAATTTATCTAAATTTTAACCTCGATTTTATAAAATTCTTTTTACTTCACGAAGAATAGAGTTCTCCCAAATATATCAAGTCGGTAGTTATATATATATATATATATATTGATATTTATTACAATTCATGTGGTAATCGTAAGCTAAATAAAACATCTGTGCTCTATGCTTCTAAATAAAATAAATTTATAATTTAAATATTTCAAGTATTATTGAAATTGGAAATAATATCACTGAATATCAATGTTATAGTCATACAGTATAATTAAATATACACACATTTAGTGATGATGCTAATGATATATATATCAAAAAGAGAAAGAGTGAGAGAGAGAGAGAGAGAGAATGTAAAAACACATAAAGGTGGATATATATATATATATATAAAGCCTAATAAAAATATTAACTTAAATAAATTGACAACCTAAATATTTTAACATTTCATTATCAAATATTTTTGGTTAGATGATATTTAAAATATTTTTGTTTGATAGTTTTTGTAAGTCTATGAATTTTTATTGTATTACTTTTTTTAATATATACTTTACAACTCTCAATTTCAAAGTTTTAATTTATTTCATCTTACTAATAGTTGTTTAAGAACCAGATTATGCTTGAATCTTGTCGACTTCACTAGTAATGAGCAACATTTTGCCAATTAACATTTTAGATTAAAAACGTTTAATTGGATTTAAAAATATGAAAACTGCCAATTCTTTTCATGAATTATCTTAATTAGATATTTTTATATAACGATATAAGTACATGTTATAATCTATTATGAATTATCTGAAAAATGTTAACTTAACTTATAACTAAACGCTTTTAATTTCTAATGTTAAATGAACGTTTATTCTTATAATTTACAGAAATATGATTACTTTATGAGCCTGTAAAAAAATGTACAAAATAAAGAATATGAAGGGATAGGATAAAAGTGTATAAACCCGTGTTAATTAGTAATAAAAATGAAGGAAAGATCGAGAGTGCTGAAATTAATAGCGCAATACAGAAGTAAACTCTTGTTTTTCCTTTACCCTTTTGTAAAATTTCTGATAGATAGCCGTCACTTCTCCAACCTTCATTCTAATACGCGTAATGTCTACGTATACACATAATCTGTAATAATTTATTAATGAGAAGAGCGAGGTAAATCGTTAAAAGCAACTGTCATGTCCGCTGTAGGGCACTGACTGATGCACAGACGATGTGCGGTGCTAGTCATCTTCAACAATAATATTTCTCTACTTGTGCTGGTTACCAATCGTTCAACGTGACACTTGGAGTTTTTCACTATTGTCGCGTGTATGTAATGCGTCAACGGAGTCAAGTGCATTATACATTATATATATACTACATGTCGACTATACTTTGCTTGTCCGGCAGTTATTTGTACTTTTTACCGCAGTTCGTGTAATCTGTAGGCTCATCGTCTCTTCAAGTGATGCGATATAACGATTGTGAAAAATATCTTCAAAATAACTCTATTACATCATATTGAAAATCGTAGTTTCATTACTCAAAATAGTTCGTATAAAACGTTTAAATACACTTTAACTCGAGTTTCAATATTTACTCAAATAAATCCTCTAATTATATTGTAAATATGATATCGTTAATACTTCAATTTATTCCTTTTAATAAATAGTTGAATTGTAAGTAATA